GACTTTCTAGGAGAGAAACGGAGTTTCCCTGCATAGTCTGTTAGAAAATACCAGATCCAGTAAATATAGGAACAGCATGAAACTGTCTCGGTGAAGATTTCTCAGAAACAGAGTAGCTTCAGCAAGCGTATCTTCATATTATGGTGGTGGATTGAGTAAAACACACGCATATTCAAAGAATATGTTTTTGAAGCTAATGTTATCTTGTTTGAGATAAAGGTTTAGTTCTGCAAAGCAAAGATTTTGAACTGGCGTTTTAGTGAAACAAAAAAGCTGGAGGAAGGCTTCTGAAGAAGTGAACCTCTGCTTGCAGCCCTTCAGCTGGGCATAGGTTGTGTGTGTTTGGGTAATTTTAGGTTTGATGTTGTGTTGAGACAGAAATCTTTGATCAAGATTGCACAACCTGAGATTGATCAAGGTTTTCAATGGACACGCTGTCTTTTTGGTTTTTTATTTCATCATCTATACAACGATTTATTTAATGCAGTGTAGTTAGTGTGGTTATTTATTAAGAAAACGGTAAGCTTTAAGTGCCTAGGGAAGGTGGGGGGTAGGGAGGAATCACCTAAAAATCTTAATTATTAGGATTATAGGGGCAAAGTTGTTGACACAGAAGTCAAGTAGAGTGAGAGATTCTCAGGAGGAAGCAAACATAACTAAATTGCAGTATGTTTAGGAAATTACTTTGCCCAATGTCAAGACACTGGAAGACTTTGGATTATGTTCTGCTATGCTTTTCAATATTAACCACAGCCAGCTCACTTGCTGGTGCGTAGTGAAAATTGCTGCTGGAGGGGAAGCCTTGGGCTCAAGGAGGAGTCGGGGGGGTTCAGTCAGGATAGTGTTTTGCCCGTTTGCTTCTATTAATGGCTTGTTCCTGGGAGATTCTGAGCACTTGGCTTCTGCGGGACTGAGCGGGTGTTGCTCAGCCCTCCTTGAGATCGGATGCACGGGGAAGGTGGGTGCTGTGGAGCCGTACAGTGATCCAGAGGCAAGGTTAGCAGGAGCACAGGGTTAGGGGAGAGGAAGATGGCAGCAGCCAAGTGGGAAAGGGGGTGTGTGGTTTTACCCGCTTTGACATCCATTTAGCTTGACTGAAGGGGTGTCCCGTAGCTGTGCTTTTAGAACAACCCATGTTCTGGTGGTGCCTGGGACCAACACCATAGACAATAAAGAGAAACATTGATGACTAGCCACTAGTTACTTTTTTTGCACTTGAACTAAAATGTACTGTACTCACGTAAATCCTCATGACTTGTCGAAGTGTCCTTTAAAATCAGAAATGTATTTATTGTATGTTTGTATAACTTGGGGGAGAACTAAAGACCGAACAGGTGACAGGACAGAAGGATGCTAAAAATCATCTTGAGACGAAACAACCATTTGTTGAGTTCATGCTGAACGGTGTTACCTCAGCTGCTACTGCATAGCACCTGGATTGTGAGGTGAAGAGCTTGTACACTGTGTTTACACTTCAGAATCGTGTATTTGAAATGCCTGCTCTTTTTGGAATTGTATAGTCATTCTGTGTTGCAAAATGGACATGTACACCTGGGTTTTGATATTTGTGAAACTGTAAAAACTGTGCTAAGAAATATAAAATATCCATAATGTATTTAGTAGTATCAACCTGAACTTTTATTACATTCGCTCATATTACAGTGCCAGCAATGAATGTAATCACTTGAACTGAAAATAATTCAGTGATAATTACCTTGCGCTAGGTTCACTGCCTGGAGGATGGTGAGCCTAGAGCCTGGGAACTACCCTGGCGCAGCATTAAAATCTGTTTCACGATAAAATCTGACTAGGGACAAATTTCCTGGTGAGGGGCGAGGAGGATGTAAAGGAATGCAAACCAATGTGCATCATAAACAGGTTGATATGGAAGTGTGCAGGACATTGCGAGTGAAAGTCAAAATTGGATTACATTTGTTACCTAGCAGTTTTGAGGTAGAGGCTGCTAAGTGCGGGTTGTGTCAGCTCATATGGAAATACTTCCAATTTCCATTTCTGATTATATTTGTGCTATTGCACCTGCCCTATACAGCGGCATGTTTACCTGGAATTTATTTTTATCTTCGGTATAGGACAGTTAAATTTTTACTACTTCAAATGCTGAATTTGTACGCATACAAAAGCAGTGACAGAGAGAGATCTTAGTTTTGTTTTGTTGTTTGCACATCTGTAACTGCCAGACCTCACCTGTTCCCTTATGAATTTGGCTTTGTGGTGGTTTGGATCTGTCATGAGTGGAGAATGGGTATGGCAGATTCCTCCAGGGAGATGCATTTGAGGTAGAGGGGACGCTGTTTTGGAGCAACCACAGCTAATGCACAGTTACAGTTTCTTAAATTTGCAACAAGGGAGAGAACCTGGGGACGTAAACACACCCAGTTTGCTTGGCTCCTCCCTGCCGTATGTCCTGCTGTTCTGAAAAGAGCAAATGCTTAAGGGAGGAGAACCACATAGTTGAAAAATACTTTTATTTAAAAAAAAAAAAATCTTGAAAGTACAAAGTAGTGTATCGAGTATGCTATACCATGAATACAAAATAAATATGAAATTCTAACTTTTAACACCATGAAATAGAAGGTAAATGTAACTCATCCTTCATTAACAAAGAAAGGCTTTTGTAACAGTTAAGGCAATGGATAAACATCTAGATTCTGTTCCCAGATTTTCTGGCTGAACACTGGACAGTACTTAACAGTTGTGTTTCAGTAAACCTATGTAATCTCCACGTATCACAGGAGCACTGTGCAAATAAACTCACTGCTGGCATACGGCTCAAATGACAGCAGTTGTGTTTGGTGGGTTTTATCAAATGCTTCCAATGTTGGAGCCGGCTTGGGGGGATTTTTAAGGTCAGTATCAGGTATCCACTAAAGCAGCTGTCATCTTCCTCATATGTTGCTGCATTTCTGTCTTGGATGTACTTAGTAGTTTCCTGCTCTACTTTGGATGGTATTTACACATCCCTGGAAGATGATGGACTTCAGAATGATGTAAAATGTAGGTCGGTTGGTTTTTTTCTTTTCCTTGTGGGAGTAAGTGTACCTTCTAAATAATTTAGAAAAAGGGACAGTGTCTGAAAAATGCAATTGCCTGGTTTTGGGGCACTTTTCTGTTTCACATATTGCATAGGTAAAATATTATCGTAATGTATTATCTGGGCTATTGTATATAAATACATATTATGTACTCACAGAAGGATAATCATCACTACCTCAGTAAAGAGAGGAAATCCAGAAAAACTGTGGGTTTAAGCTAGGATAAATCTGGTTTTCCCTCTTGGCCTCAAATCACATGGATGGGAATTCTTAGCCAGCTACGTAGTACACTGAAAAAACTTGTGTGCTTTAAAACATGCAAAACCCATTTAAGACATCTCTTACTTTTTTGACTAATCTGTAATAATTTTGAGTACTTCATTTTCACAATGGCAACACAGGCAAAGGTAAAATAATTCTTTAGTCTGCTAAGGTAATTGTTGAGTGGGGTTTCCATCCTTCTCATCAGCAATAACTAGGCTTTCCTCCATTTTCACAACAGCTAATGCTTCCAGCTTCTTACAAGTGACAGAACCCCCCAAACCAAGCCCAGCTTCCAGAGTGGGGTGGCAATTTAACTGTGAATTTGGTGGTAGCAGCCACTCTTGGAGGTAACTCGTGCTGCTAGTGGCCTTCCTGAACAGAACTCTCTGGTTCTGTTTTTCAATGTTGTGGACTTAACCAGTGAGTGTATTTTGGATCACCTGCTTGACAGGGCTTGTCTCTGCTAAATATGCTATAGATTCTGCATATGTATTTATAAAATTTGGGCACAAAGGGGCATTAAGTGTGTCTCTACTGTAAAATGGAAGAGTGCCTTTTAAAACGAAGCAAAGTTGAAGGAATATAAAGGAGGAAGGACCATGTAAATAAGGCTTTCAGGCATCAACTCTGAGTTCTGTTTTACACAGAGATCTTGGAATGTGGTACGGCTGCACTTCTTAGCGCTGTCAGAGGTAACAGATTTTCTCCCTTGTCCAGCAGTGGACAGTGAGAACCTACAATAGTACATGCACTGTCATGCTGCATCACTGGGCATATTACAAAGAAAAGATACCCCTTTTAAAACAAACATATCCTGGTCTGAAATGCCCTTCTGGAGAGCTGTTTCCCAACACCCACACTGGTGGGTTTATAAGATCAGATGGTGGCTGAATTAATGGTCTTTTGTTTTCTGCAGTTTGGAGACAGTAAGGGAAAACAGGAAGGTGAAGATAGAATACAGGGACAGTCTAAAGAACAGAAGAAGGAAAGGACCTCTGCAGGTGGATGAACTGAGGGGACATGATCTACTCCTTAGCCTAGGACTGTGTAATACAGAAGCTGAAAGACATTTGACTCTCTAAATTTCTCTCCCTGTTCTTTTCTTTTCCTCCCACGCACATCTCCTGTGCTAAGTCCCACAGAGCTGAAGAAAGGGAGGTAGGAGCCAGGTAGCCCTCCCTCTTGTTTTGGCAGGAATTACTTTCCACTTTTTATTGAATGAGCAAACTACAGAGTACTCTGAGGACAGTGGAGCTGTAGGTGAGTTATCTGTATTCCTAATTACACGGTTACAGCATCACTCTGGCCCTGCTAACAGCAGTTTCTCCAAGCAGCTGAAAGAGCCTCAGCCTTTCTTGCCTCTTCTGGGCTGTTGAGAGGCCTGGAATGGAGGGCAGTACCTGCCTGAGGTAAGGTGACAGTGAAATTGAGAGCAATAGTAAAAATACATTTGGGGATGGAAATCCTCTCCTAAATGATCTGCAGTTGTCAGAGGTGGAGAAGCAGAGGAATGAGGAAAGGTTCAG